CTCGGCTCGGCTCGTTTGCACCCCTATGTTTGGATAATCAAAAATGAAAATTTTCCTTTGAAAATCGGGTCGTTACAATCAAACCATTCATGAATAATTATTTAATCATTTAATATATAACACTCAAGTGTCTAAACTTGCCAAAGTGACAGGACTATCACAATTGATAATATGTGCAATTAGGTTTGAGCATGATGGAACCTTGTAATATAAATTCATTAGCCATTATACCTCTACACCCACAACATTATTGCAACAACCCCATATTCTATTGTTGAGTTTGTAATACAAGTACTATCATGGCTTCCACAATCCGTTCTCACGAGTAAGCTGCGCGTACCCACATGTACGCTCATCATACGGGCTGAAATAAGAAACCCAACCACATGGAACCAAATGTGCAAACTTCAATTAGGTTAAGCACTAAAATGGTAATACCTGATAATCAGATGTTACACAAATTTATGTACGTTTCAAAGACTTAGAAAAGATGAATGAGAATTGATTACCTTTTAAAATTAGGCATCTAAGCTATCAATCGTGCGCTATAGCGTTTTGCGGTGGTCAACAACTGCTATTTCCAGTTTAGGGTGTTTGTTTTGCGGTACCGCTATTTCCAGTGCTATTCACCGCTATTTCAATAACAGCTATAGCGGCGCTATGGATGCTATTCCATTTTCGTTCACATTTTGGACCATTTGGTTACTTTGTCATTGAAAGACTGATTTTAATGATCTCACTACACTTTCATTTTAAAAAGCCCGAACAAATAACATAATTAAAACATTCAAAGCAACTATGTCTACCGACAACTCTCTTTCTCATCTCTTTCTGTACTCATAACGACTTGAGCTGCTATGGTCGGACTCCATTAATGTTTCTTTTAAATCGACCCACACCTATGAGGCTACGACTTGAGACTTAACTCCTTAAATTAACCACAACCTACTAATACAATATTGTACCCATGCAATGTGATTAAACTCTATTCAACACTTTTACACTACATAGTTTCCATATATCCCTATATTAATAAAAGACTAGTTATTTGTCATGTGTTATCATATTAGACCTCTTAATTAATATGTTGCCACTTGTCAATATATTAGTTCTTCATTTTAAATTTATTAGACCTCCTCATTAATGTGATGTTATTTGTCAATGTATTTATTCTCTATTTTAAATTTAAATTTTATATTATTGTTTTGATTAATTCACAAATAAAAAATGTTTAATATATATTAAAAATTAATTTTACATATTTATTTGAATCAACGATTATAATTTCATATAACTAATAAAAATATATCTTAAATTAATAATTTATTTAAAATAACTGATTAATAATTTTTAGTTTTTATTATAAAATTTTAATTAATTTTATAACCGTGGTTCCCACAGATTATAAACTAGTTACTATAATAGAATATTATGTTATGTTTTTATATCACATTTTAGGTTTGATGATGTTAATTCTATATAGATTTATAGTATTAATACTTAAATATATATTCTAAATAAATATAATATAAAATTATAAATTATACCTAATATTGAAAATCCGTTATACCACCATAATAACCGTGATTGCAATTAGCGGTACGTGACCGTTACTGAAAATTTAACCGCAATATTTCAAATGTGTCATTCTCTCTTCCTACAAACTCAATCTCGTTCAAATGAAAATAAGAAGAAATGTTTGGTGCTTATCTTCAAAAGTTTGACATTTAATCATATTTAATCCTTTTAGTTCGCTTTTTTTCATTTGACGACCATTGAATTCACTGCATATAATCATTCTCAAATTCCTTTATCTTAACACAGATCCATATTAGAATCGGATTTGTGTACGTTTCATAGATTTAAAAAAGGTGAATAAGAATTTATTACCTCGTAAAATTAGGCATGTATTTAAGCTCTGGTGCTTCTTTCAAATTTATCATTCTTTCCCCTTGCAACCTCAATCTCTTTCAAATAAAAATAAAAAAAGATGTCTGCAGGCTTATCTTCAAAAGTTTGACATTTGATCATATTTAGTCCCTCTAGTTTTTTTAATTAACTAATTATTTATTTATTTATTTTTAACCATTGCCCCCAAAACACTTAGGTGCTGTTTGTTTTTTCTGAGGTAAAATGTCTGCAGTCTGCGGACCACATCTGTAGACCTCTGCAGTAGAAGAGGTGGACCAAACGTCTGCAGTCTGAAAAAAGAAGACTGTTTGTTTTTTTAACATCTGCGGGCTATTAAAATAAACTGAAATCTAAATAAATTGATTTTTTAAAACTTCAAAGCGAATTTTTTATATATTTTTACGACTTTATTATAAATATATAACGAATCTAGATCAACTTTTATGTATTATTATATAAAAAATAAAAATAAAAATGGTATTAATTCATATACATATTTGATAAAAACCAACAACTTTGATTGTAAAGTTATAACTAAACATTATAATTAGTGATCAAAGAATTTGATACATAAAAGATGGAAATAAACTTCGATTTTTTTAAATAAATCTATTAAAAATGTACGATAAATATTTTCTCGAGAAATTGATGATACTCTATTAAATAAAGTTTTACAAAATTTTGGCAAAAAAATATAAGAATATATTATGATATTTTTTTCATATTTATATAAACAACTTCAACGACTATTATTATAATAAATTTTTATTTATAAATTTGTTAAAAATATCATGTTTGTATCGTCAAATGTTTTTTTTTTTAAGTTTTGTAATTTTTTTTCATATTGTTTATCATTAATAAAGTTGGAAAAAATATAAATTAAAAAAAAAACTTAAAAAAATAAAGATATATATGTTTTTTTAAGCTAGAAGATGTCTGAAGATGTTAGAAGACTCTGGTCCACATCTGCGCCAAGAAGAGGGCACGCAGACATTTTTAGGTCTGCAGTCTTCAAAAAAACAAACAGTCTGCGAAGACTAATGTCTGCGCGTGGTCTGCGCGGCGCAGACAGAAGACATCTCGCAGATCTGCAGACAAAAAACAAACACTACCTTATTCAACATCTTGAAGTTACTAGATTAACCCTAACTACAAATTCCCTAACCCAGGTTATCTTTTAGGGTGTTAGTTGGGTAAAATCATGATCAACTATATAATTTTCACAACATATTAAGTGGACCGTCAAGTTCTCAACATTTAACTTTAAATATAAAATTAATTCATAAAGTTATTAAATTAACTTTTATTATGACTATTTTGTTCTTTATTTATATATATTAAATTTAAAATTTACCTTAAAACTGGTGTTACAGTTTTTAACAAAAATAGATGGTTTAATTAAAATTTTGGGCATTCTCAATAGTCAATCCTATCATATTTGTTCAAAATAAAGACAACAAAACATCATTGTTTAATATTAGCGCTTTCATTTAAACGGAAAATGACATTTGAGGGTAATAAAATATTCGTCTTGTATTCATTAGGTCCCTTATCTTTTTTTTGTCTTTATTATACCATTGAACTTATAATCCCTGTTCACCAAAGCCTTTGATACCGGTTGTTGTAGGTTACTACTTATGTGGATATTACGTGGCATTATGTGCCATAAACTGGGCTTATTAATTGCAAAGTTACAATACTGCATCGTTCTTGCCCGTTCTTACCCTAGATCGACATGTCTTCTTCTTCTTCTTCTATTTCTTCCAAACGAAATGTTGAATTTCAACCTGAAAATCCTTGTTACTGTGGGTTACCATCTCGTGTACGAACTTCACGAACTAAAGACAATCCAGGAAAAAAATTCAGATTGTGCCCTAACTCCATGGTAAAGCAATTGTTTTTTACTTTTCGTTTAATCTTCTTTCTTTAACCAATTTGTTACTTTTTTCAAGAATGAAGGACCAAAATGCAAGTTCTGTGAATGGTTGGAGCCTGAAACCCCTGAAAATGAAGTCAATTCTGGAAAGGACAAAAAAGAACCGTGCAATTTAACCCTCAAAGTTTCTATATTGGAAAACGAGATCAACATATGTAAGATGAAGATGGAACAAGAAAATTTGTTTGTTAGACAAGAGTTTGAAAAACTCAAATGGAAGCTATTTACTCATAAAGTTGTGATGATTGTGTTGTTTCTGTTGTTTGTGTTTAAGAAGTAGTTTAGCCCTTAATTTAACCCTTAGTTTAGCTGTATTCAAAGACTAAATGTAATCCTTAATGTTGTAATTTGTTTGATGTATTATGACTAAATCTTTTTGATTAATGATAGTTTGATGTTTTGAGTGCTTTCCAAGAAGTATTAATGTGTTTAAAAGGTTAATGAATTGGACATGATGCATGGGTAAAATGGTCCAGATTAAATTTGGCAGTCAATTGTTATTGTGTTGATGTGATCCAAGGGTAAAATGGTCCAGATTAACCACATTGGATACATCAAACATTTCTTAATGTATTAAGACTAAATCTTGGCATTAATCAATTGTTAATGTCTTGATGTGATCCAAGGGTAAAATGGTCCAGATTAAATTTGGCAGTAATCAATTGTTATTGTGTTGATGTGATCCAAGGGTAAAATGGTCCAGATTAACCACATTGGATACATCAAACATTTCTTAATGTATTAAGACTAAATCTTGGCATTAATCAATTGTTAATGTCTTGATGTGATCCAAGGGTAAAATGGTCCATATTAAATTTGGCAGTAATCAATTGTTATTGTGTTGATGTGATCCAAGGGTAATATGGTCCAAATTAACAACAACAACAACACCAAACTTTTCTTAATGTATTAATACTAAATTTACCTGATTTATGATAGATAATATAAGATTAAACAATCTATATGCAAATAACCGTACACCAAAGCATATAGATAAAAGACAAAGTTGTAATATTCCATCATCATGTGCACTATTACAAAAGCTGTGCCCACAGTTGTCCTAATATGTCAAAAGATGTGCCATGTGCCATGATTCTTAAAGTTTTCCCAATTACATATTTATAAGACTAAAAGTTTGTCTTTCCAAATAAAATCATTCCAACACCATTGGGTTGTGTCCAGTGCTTCCTTCTTTCTTCAAAACCTTCCTCCTCAACCCTATCTTGGTAATTCTTTCTGAGTATTTTCGTATCCTCTGCCTAGTTGCAACTGGTTGAGCAGGGACATCAACATCTGGATGTGGATCATCTACTTGAACTGGTTCAACATGTGGAGCTGGTACATCAACTGGATCCACTGGATCTGCTTGAACTGGATCAACCTATGGATCTGGTACTTGAACTGGATCCACTTGAACTGGTTCCACTTTACCTGCTATACAAATATGTAGCTAATGAGTTGGATGTTCCATTTAAATTATATTGTTTTAATAGCATACCTTTCTCTTTTTTACATTTTTTAGGTTTCTTGTTTTTTGGCCTTGAAGTGGATGCTACATCTGCTGGTCTAGTAGGACATGTTGATCTATTGTGGCCCCTTTCTCTACAAATAGTGCATCTATTAACTGAACCTGCTTTTGAGATAGTATGCCTTGTTTTCCCCTTGCTTTCCATCTCAGATTGATCTTTTTTCCTTTTAAGGGTTGGCCTTCCTGGTAACCTTCTTTTTTGAGGAGGCAATGGCTTCATGTAGGGAGCTTCAGGCCACATGGAACTACCATTAAGTGGGTTAATGGTATGGTTGTAACAAGTCAAGAACATGGCTTGTATGGAACCATGGTGCAACATAATCCTCTGCATTCCTGTTAAGGTATGAAATGGCTGCCACTGCATGCACACATGGGATACCTGATACTTGCCAAGATCTACATCCACATGTGTTGTTGTTAAGGTCCACAGCATATCCATCATTTCCAATCCTAACTTCATATTGTTGTATCCCAGATGGTATAACACCCCAAAATCTGCCCAAAAAATAAGAAGTTCTATTAATCTTATAGATGAGACATATAATATTTATAAAATAGAAGTTATATCATACCTTTGCTGTTTCTTTAGCTTTGATATCTTCAACCTTATAGATGGACATATTTTTAAATTCCCCCAACTTTGTCCCTCTTGCAACATTTTATACATCCTCTCCATTGCATAAATCCTTATCTCTTCCAACATGGTGATGAGTGGCCTTTTCCTAGCAAGATCAATAACAGAGTTGAAACTTTCTGATATGCCATTCTCATAAGCATCACAAGCCCTGTCCACTTCAAAGAATGCCCTGCACCAACTTTTAGGGTCCCTTTCCATGAGGTGTTCATAAGCCAAAGGGTCAATTTTTTTATGGAATTCATTTCTGCCTCAAATTTTGGTTGAGTAGTACTAGCAGCTGCTGCCCAAAACAACTTCCTATATTGTTCACCTTTGAAACTTTTCTTGAAGTTAGCATAGATGTGCCTAGCACATTGTCTATGCTCTGCTGCTGGAACCCTTTCTTTGACAGCCTCTATTAATCCCTGAAAGAAAGCATGAAATAGATGACATAACAAAAACATTCAACTTAAACAAAACAAAACAGAAATATACCTTGTGTTGGTCTGATATGAGGGTCAATCCATGACCAATTCCCATTTCAATGTCATCCAGAAGGAGGTCAAGAAACCACTTCCATGTTTCCTTATTTTCAACTTCCACCACAGCCCATGCAATAGGGAAGATGTGGTTGTTTGCATCCCTACCCATAGCTGCTAACAGTTGGCCTCTACATATACCCTTTAAAAAACAACCATCTACCCCTATTACCCTCCTACATGCTGCAATCCAACCATCCTTCACACCCTTAAAACAAACATACATTTTAGAAAAGTAGGTTGTGGAATCAGGCATGACATTCACATCTATCTTTACTGTTGAACCAGGATTTGTCCTCATTATTTCTTCTCCATAACTCCATACTTTACCATAATGTTCTATCAAACTACCCTCTATCTCATCCAAAGCATATCTCCTAGCATTTCTACATTGAGTGACACTAACAATCAAGTTAAACTTTGTACTCACTTTGGCCTTCATTTTCCTTATGCTCATTTTAGGGTTCTTCAGAAGTTGATTCTTAAAATGCATTCCAATCCATTTATATGTTACAATGGAACCAAGTTTGAAGACTCTTGAACAGTTATGTTCATCAACTAATGACTTAATTTGGAAAGACCTTTCACTGCTCATCCAGGAAGCCCACAGTCTAAAAGGACAAGAGGGGTTCTTGTTCTCTTTACAACATCTCACTAATAACCTCTGACTATCATTTTTCTCAAAATAAAGGTTGTACCCATTCTTCACTGCATAGTTAGTCAAACAATTTTTCAATTCCATGGGGTTAGAGAATCTCATACCTAGAATTGGCACCATTTTGTCCCATTTCTGGTTCTCATTATGGACAGGGTACACTGGTTTGTCATCTCCATTCTTGGTTTCAACCTCATCAGTTTCAGCCTCATCATTTATATCCTTACACATACCTGACACCCGATGTAAGAATTCATCACCAATAGTCTTGTCAAGAGAAGGAATGTAATCATCTGCTTCATGCTCATATGGAATATCATCAGAAAGTTGTGAATCTTTATCATCATCCAGGTCTTCCTCAGAATAATGCCCTTCATCATCAGCCCAATCAAGTACAGGTTCATTTTCGTGGTCTATATACACATTCATTCTTAGACCGGCTTCATCACTATAACCCGTTTCAATAAACTCAAAGTAGTCAGCATCATTCGTAATTCTCCTAATACCCTCTGCCAATGGTTCATTTCTAGTGCAATAATATACATTATCACAACTGCCTTCAATCAACTTTGCAATGAACAAGTTAAAGTCTTTGAAATCCATTGCACCAAAATCGACATCACAGATTGAAACAACAACAGCGTTCAAGTACACTAATGGTTTTGGTGCGAATAAACCATTATAATGTAAATAAACTGTTAAATACTTACTTTGTTTGGAATCGGAGGCCATCTTCTTCACTATAACACTCGCATTCACCAGTTCTCTTCAATTTCCTAACCGTATGCTTCGATTGAACTTTTTCTTCCCTCAATTAAAAAGAACCCTAACTGTAAGGACAAACGGGTGAAAGAGAAACGGTAATTAAATGTGTTCTAATTCCACGTAATAAGACATGTCATCTCTAATTAAATGTGGTAACCGGTAAAACAAGTGATAACCGGTCACGGTGGCTTTGGTGAACAGGGATTATAAGTTCAATGGTATAATAAAGACAAAAAAAACATAAGGGACCTAATGAATACAAGATGAATACTTTATTACCCTCAAAGTTCATTTTCCCTCATTTAAACAAAACCAATAACTGTCGTTCCCTGGGAATAATCTTTACAATTTGCAAAGTATACATCATTATCTGCGCATATCAATTTAAAATATACCATGCAAAACAACTAAGCGAAAATGAAGAATGGAATTAATAAATGGTCGTAACGCGTACATATGGAATAAATGGACTAAAATTACAAATGACGGTACAAGTGAAATCATGTTGAATTTGGTTGAAACAAAAGGGGAGAGAAGGAATGTAATCTAGAATGAAGGATGAAAAAAAATCAAAGCATCAATCAAATTACGTATCAAAGGGCTAATGGTCTAGCTTCCTAGCCATATGGAGTGACTCTTTAGTATAAGAAGTCATGAGTTCAAATCTCGTGGAAAGATATGTGGTTTTTTTTTTCAAATTTGATTTAAATGTAAAATGATTATTTAAAAAAAAGAAATAGGCCAAACATTAGATTTAACCATCAAAGACTAATCATGTAACAAAATAAAACCATAAGCTAACATGATTGATGTAATAGTTCATGTACTTTGCCAAAACTTACATTGTTGGTCTAACTATTGAATTTTTGACATGATTCATCCATATGGTTTTCAATTATTTTACCGAGGGTCTTTAAAGTGTAAAATGTTAAAAACAAAGCTGTTAATTTTCTTTAAAATGAATGCTTTGTCCTTCTATTCAATATTTTGTTATTTTTTGTTTCAAATTTATTTGTCTGCCATGTTTGTTCATCACCATCAACCATGCACTACTAACCATCAATCACCAACCACCACTAATCACTATCACCATCCAACATCATTTACAACCACCACCATCTCTAACAAACATCAACTCCACCACCACAACCATTGAATTCATGAATGTCGCCACCATCCCCACCACCATAATCACCAATCACCACCACCATGGTTTTTTGTTTAAATTACTACAAATCATAAGATATAAACTATAATTACGATCAGTTTGGTATTTAAGACTCAATCATCATTAACATCACCACGGTCACCATTATCACAAATACCACCACTAGCATTGTGTTCATGTGACCACCACCACTGTTCACCACCATTTTTAGCTCTAAAAAAAAAAAAAGAAAAAAACTAAAAAATATACCTAAAAAAATATGAAAACAACCAATTATTAAATTATAAACACCACAATCTTTTACCGCCACGAGCCACACCACCATAACCACCAATTACCAAAATATGAAAATGAAAACCATAAATTAAATTATTTACAACCTAACACTCATGAACAAACTTGAAAACCAAAAACGATTTATCCGGAAATTGCAACCCAAAATTGAAAACCTACCGAGCTGAAGTCAAAAAAAGAAAGAAAGAGATACGAGAGGAAGGTTTTGGCAACTAGAATGTTGGAACCGCAATTATAGGAGGTGAAAGATACATAGATCACCAACAAATTTTAGTGGGAGAGGAAGACAAATTTGCTTCAAGGTGCTGGTGGTTAGAGAGGGTGTGGATTCCAGGGCGGTGCCAGAGCGTTGGAGCTATAACTGCTGGCGACGAAGATGTTGAAAGCTAGAGAGAAAAAATAAGATGATGAGGTTTCCTTCAATTTGATGGGTGTTAGACCACTAGAATAATACTTTTTAATGTTTCTTTAAGCTATTTTAGAAATGATCCCCACATTAGTAGAAAATGTAAATAAAACAGAAAAAAAAAAAAAAAAAAAAAAAAGGTATAAGTTATTGTATTGGCCTTTACAGACAAAATTTGACTCATTGATGTATAGTGCAACAATTGCAAATCACATGGATCAGTCATGTTAAAAATTAAATAATAAGATCAATAGGATAAATTTGGGAAAAAATATAAAGACCAAACATGTAAAATTTACTCTAAAATATAAAATTATATTAAAGTCATGACTTTTTTGAAACCAGACGGACCATTCCTACAATTTTGTCAAATGAAATTTAAACGGAACGAGATAAGGTTTGAAGCATGGTTAAAACTAAAGTGAATGTATGGTGAGCAATACAAAGTGTGAAAGCACATACCGTGTGGGACCCACACCACCACCCAACACAAAGACCATCGGACCGGAGCCGTTAATGATGACCCGAACCCGTAATTTGCTCGTATTCCGAGAGACAAAAAGAGATGCGAAAGAAATACCCAAAAACAAAACCACACTCCACACTGTTTATGTCCGTAGATTTCGACAACATTACACCAAAATCAACTTCACCTAATTCTCTCTTAACCGCTCCAAATTTACAAAAAACCCATCTTTTTCAGTTTTCACTTACAAGATGATTCTATTTCCACCCCTTTCTTCTTTCTACACAACCCATATACAGGATATTATTATTATTATATTTCTTTAATTTATTTTTCTTTCCCTTCTTTTTCCTCAGTTTCTTCGATTTGTTGATCTGCTTTTTTTGGGTGAGAAATAAGTTACTGTTGATCGGTCACTCATGAGTTAGCTCATGGCCTCCAATCTTTCATTCGCAATCCTAGTGAGAGAGAAGAGAGAGAACGTTTTCGATTTCGATTTCGATTCCTCTAGGCTGAAAGATAGTTAATTTGTATAATTTCCTATGTATAGATTATAGGCTGGGGATATACAAACCCATCAGATATAATTTGTGGGTTCGTTTGTTTTTGGCATGGGGTGTTTTCCATGCTTTGATTCATCAAACAAAGAAGGAAATGGTGTAAAGGAAGTGTCTAAAAAGGATATTGGGAAAGAAGGTTCGGCTCCTCATCAATCTCATCATGTCAGTAGGGTTAGTTCAGGTAACAAAACACTTTCCCATCTTCAAATTCTCCTTCTTTTATCTATTCTTTCTTCTTCTATTCATCTTCAATTTCTAGTCTGATCTGTTGAGTCGATTAGTTTCTTGATTCGTTGAACTGGTTCTCAACACGATTCTGAATTGGTTCGAAACAATGGTTCGGTTTACGAATGTATCTCCAAAGATCTGCTTGAAATTTTGGGGATGTCTAATTCCATCATTGTTATAGGAAAATCAAAATCCCGTGTTAGTTTGGATCCTAAGAAGGACCAGATGGTTACAAAAGATGGACAAACAGCAAACATTGCAGCTCAAACGTTTACTTTTCGTGAGCTTGCTGCAGCAACAAAGAACTTTCGCCCTGAGTCTATGTTAGGAGAAGGTGGTTTTGGGCGTGTTTACAAAGGTCGTTTGGATAGCACAGGACAGGTGATTTTGAAAAGAAAAAAAAAATCATGTCTTTTTTATAACTTTCTTAAATGTTGAATGGTTTGTTCTTGTTGTCGGCATTCTGAATAGAAAAGAAGCTGTTTACTTTGCAGGTAGTTGCTGTGAAGCAGCTTGATAGAAATGGTCTTCAAGGGAATCGAGAGTTTTTGGTGGAGGTTCTTATGCTTAGCCTGTTACATCACCCAAATCTTGTGAATTTGATAGGTTATTGTGCAGATGGAGATCAACGCCTCCTAGTTTATGAGTTTATGCCTTTGGGATCACTTGAAGATCATTTACATGGTTAGATTTCTCGTTTCTCTCAGTATTATTTTGAAATCCATCAATGTTAGTACCTTTATCAAGTGTTCCCCTTTGATCTGGGCTTTCACAGTAGGTTGAATCGATGGAAACTGAAAATTCCAGTTACAAGGGTTTGGAATGTTGATCACATTGTAGCTTTTCTAGAACCATTCTTTACATTGTATTAGAGCCTAAAGCCTTAATAATAAGAAGGAAAAGCCTCCTCAAGTGTTGTTCCTTTTTGACTTAATGGAATCGATGGGGACAGGTGGACTTAGTCCTGTATAAGCTATATATGTTTCTTTTTTACTTAATGCAGAAATAATTAAAAGTGAGAAAAAGAGGTTTTTTCCCATTTGTCCCTTACTTTTTACAAAGTTGCCTTTCTTTTTTTCTTCCATTTCCCCAAATTTGCCGTGATTTTCTCACAAAATTTAAAGCATATTTTATCTATACAACACTTAATTTGGAAAAATAGAAACATGGCCTTGCACCATAATCAAACCATTAGCAATCATTTTAGGCAACATAGAACTATTTAAGGATTTACCAAATCTATTGCAATCTTCCACAACAAGCATCACCTTTGACAAAAATAGCCATCAACCAGTTGTTGTTCTGTTTGACCAACTGAAGATGGTTGACCCTATATATCTTTTGTTGACCCTTGATTTCCATTTGTCAATTATTGTTGTTTTTGTGAGTTGCTTGTTGTGTTAGGCTATCTCATTGCTTAGGTAATAAGCACCTCACTTGTTATGTATGCATATTCTCATTGATGACTCAATCGCCTACTAAAGTTGCTGATTTCGTAATTTTCTTTCCTTTATTTAGAGACTATATATGATAATCCAATTCCATTGCTTTTCCTCGAGTTCATGGTGATTTTGACTCTTTTTAAAGATCTTTTGGTTTCATTTAGTTGAATAGTAGACCTAGAAAAGAAACTAGCTCTACCCTTAGTCTTATTTAAGTTATATATTGATAATCTTTTTTCTGTTTATAATTTACCGAATAGTCAAACTGTTGTTCCCTTTATAAACATGCATGAGAGTAGTGTACTATTTACAAGAATTATATATTGAATAGTCATAAGTGGTTTTCTTTTAAGGACATATGTTACCATTACTTGGTTTTTGCAGCTTCTCTTCTTCATATTCA